CTTACTCGGCTAACAGCTAGGAGACAGCAGGGCCAGACACACACTCAATATTATACACATCCATAGAGAAGACAGCGGGAAGTGAACTATTTTATTTCACTAGTTACCCCCCCGTTACTTAAGGTATCCAGGTCCGTGACTTGGAACAACACGACAGCAGAGCAGCGCACACCTGCCTGTGAGAAGGGGACAGCAAAACCTGTTCTACAGCAGACACGGACACACCGACAAACATCAGCAATTCCCACACAACAGGGGTATGTACAGAGGAGGGGGCTGAGCTTCCCGCCGGCGCTGGGACCCGGCTATGTCAGCTGGGACTGTGGGCAAGGGGGGGACACTTCAGAGTGAAATGGGAAACAACATCCCAGCTTCCTCCTGCAGGCCGGCTCACCGGGAGGGGAAGGGACAGGGCTCTGAGGAACAAAAGGTCAGTCACCGGCAGCGAGGTGACTTGCCGCCAGTAAGCCAGCGCAGGGACTGCCAGCTCCTGGTCCGAGGCTGCCCCTTCCCCTCCCTCGACAGCCCGCAGGCTTCAAAGTGCGCATGCTGCGTCAGTGACCGGCAGGCATCCTGCAAGGGGAGCGTCACTAACCACCAAATGCTGTTGTCCCCACCCGTCACACCACGGTCAGTCACTCTCCTGCCCGCTAGCATCCCCCCTGTCAGCACAACATAGGCCAGGTGATGAAAAAAACAGTGAACAGCTTAGAGCCATCCGACTGTTTTGTTCTCCTCGCTGTCAACAAACCTACAGACTTCTGGTTAGGACAGATGGATGAAACCCCCCCCGTAAAAGTCTCTGAAAAGCTCTATTAACGTAATTAGAAGCCAGGGGCAGGGGGAAAAGGAGGTATTTCCCAACCTCCAAGGTCGAGAAGTGACAGCAAAATTCACTTCAGCAGCATACATTCCACTATTCCTCTACCCAGGTCTGACAATAAATCCCTGCCACTGCTCATCTCAGTTTTGGCAATGTTACAGCTTAACACTATTCCAAAAGTGAAATGGCTACTAGCCCCATCCCCCCAGAAGTCCACTATAAAGGCAGAAGCAGCTATGTATGATTTCATCAAGCAGCAACCTAAGTGTGAGAGTAGAACAGCTATCACTGGCCTTCCACCTGCTGTAGCTCTCCTGCTCCATGTAAAGAAGCTCCCAGTCTATGTGACAATGAACAGGAGAACAGAGACTAGGAAAGGAGCATGAACAGCATCCATGACTCCCAGGGCAGGTATCCTATAGTGATGGATTTCGGGTAAGTGTTTGCTTTCGCTGTTGACAGGCAGGACCCAGGTCTCTACAAACCACCCTGAGGATCTCTCCCTCATGCTGCAAAGCCTCTGTACCCTCTTGCTTCCCCACATCTGACAGCCAACACTCACCAAGCACCAACGTCCTCTGGAAGGGAAGATATTCCAACTGAGGAGAGCAGTCTGTGGGATGTCTCTGCTACACAAACGGGAGCAACAAGGCCAAAGCTATCAGAGTTTGGGGGTTTCCAGTGCTGTGTGTAAGACGAGGGGCTGAGTGTAGGGCAAAACTCAGAAGTCGTGAGCAAGAGTTAGCCAAGATCATCCACAGAAAGGAGAAACCGAGGAGCTAATATTGTGTGTGCCCTGCAGGAAGCAAAAGCCCAGAAACAGATAACCTGTATTGTCCAAAAAGGCGAGGCCAAGTCAAACTGACTGGTTTAAAAGGAGCAGCCTTTCAACAGAGGAAGTGGGGATGCAGGACAAAGACAGGGCTGGAGTGGACAGGGAACTAGTTAAGATGCAAGGCAGTAAGGAAGGTGGAAAGCCCACCCTCAAGCTTTATTTTTGTCTTCCCTAACTTGGTGGCTTTTCCATTGCATTCACAAGATACATCTGAGCAGACAGGCTCAAGGTGGGGGAAGAAGGGGAGAAGAGGAGGAAGAGAGAGAGAGAGAGTGTAAAGGGCACCAGAGTGCCAAAGTGCAACAACATAAAAAAAAAAAAAAAAAAAGAAAGACAGGACACTCATTCTGCACTCAGGGCTCATACCATGCAGTAAGAGGGGCGGCCGGGGCTGCTCCCCACCAGTAAACAGGGAGTTCGGTCGCTTAGTAGATTGGTTTTTCAGCCCACAAAGTAGGGTTGCCTAGCCAATGAGCGGTGATGTTCTTCAGTGAGACTGGCCGGTTGGGGAATGTGCTGCTACAGAACGGGCCTGTTAGCAGGAGCACCCGCTCTCCGTTACTGGCTGCTCAGGAGGTTTCTCTAGTTTGATGTCAATCACTGCAGGAGACAAGTTAAGGAAATCAGCCAGCTCAAGGAAAAACAAGGAGGAGAGAACACAGAGAGGGATCAGTATCTGAAAAGGTTGTTAGTTGTCCCTTCTTGATAAGGGCATATATTTTAACAGAGCAGAACATATCCTGCCTGAACAGGATTAATTGCAAAACCAATGGACTGGGTATGTCAAGATCACTTAGAGGATAGAGCCCAATTGGACAGGTCTGCACACAAGACAGCCCTGTGCAAAAACAGGAAAATATTATGGTATTTTAAAACTATGCAGATTTTATCCTAAGCTTAAGTGGAGAAAGCAAAACTTGTGCTTGCCGTTATAAGTAGTTGGGTACATTTATATATAGACCACAAGCAGGGTCCTCAATTTATGCCCATAGATAAGCACCACACTATACTGGCTGTTCCAGCCATGTCCCTGCAAAAGCCCAGTAAGGCCCATCCCCACAATGTGCCAAAAAATCAGTAAGCCCAACCTAGCAAAAGATAATTGCCAGATTCTACGAGAACAGGAAAGTTACTGATGAGAAAAGCAAGGATACTGTCTTCTTTGCTCTTCTCTGGTGTGCTGTCCATCCCAGGTAAGGCAGCAGCCACACGACGGAAAAGCTGAAAAGTAGCAATAGGTAAAGCTGAAGGCTTATCAGAAAAAAATGCATGTTAAAAAACATTGCTTTATAGCAGATCTTAGAGTCCGAATTGTACAAACTTGTTATGTGGGTACTTAAGCAAGTAAAGCAATGATCAACAAATGCCACAAGAATTTTACCTAAGAAATTTAACGGGTTTTATTAAAGAAGTTATTCAATACCTACAAAACAGACAGTTTTATTTTACTTGTTTCTGCTTGAACACAACATGGAATTCATTAGTAGCAGTTCTTCTAGGGACGCATAGAATAATTCCCTCCTGCACTCAGTAAGCATGTCATCTACCATTTCCAGCCTCAACTGTTTCTGCACGCAGCAATGTTACAGTGCACAACTCAGGATTTCTGATAAGCAACCTCGCAAGAGCCCGAAGGTTTAAGAAGTTTATGGAATAAAGGGTTTTACAGCCCATCCTTTCAGTTCAGTTCTGCTGCAAAACAGCTATTTGTGAGCGGAACAGCTGGCTCAAGTGAGCTGCATTTAAGGATGCAGCTAGAGCTGGGAAGGACTATCATATCCCCATAAAAAACAGAAAATGGTTTTGCATAATTTTTCAAGTCAATGCTTAGAGCTCCTCCTGCTGACATTAATGCAGCAGCTAACACAATCAGACACTGCTAGGCAGTCTGGTGAAAAGTGCTGCATAAAGAACTAGGGGAATCACCAGCTAATGATGATTTTTCTCACAGTAGCTCGGCAGGGGCTTCTCATCCACCCCTCCAAATTGTGTTACTTGGAAAATCAAGCCACTGAGGTTAGCATCCTTTTAGTCACAGAAGTTCTCACTGCAAACACCCACTAGGCAAATAAAGCAACAGTAAGTTAGAACCAAAGATTAAAGTGGATTCACTCTAGAATAGCCAAAAGAAAAACAAAACCAAAGTCTCCTACTCCAATTGTGAGGTTCTCCTAACCAGATGGTGTGCAGCAAACTGTTAAGTACATTTCCCAGCTGACACCAGTAGTACTTGTGTTCCCTGCAGGTCCCTGGACCTTACGGCTGCCTTACTCCCCAAGTTCTGTCACGCTTCAGAACGATTCCTGAACTAGTGGAGAGCGGGATCACAAGCTTATAGCAAGAGGCAAGGGCACAAACTGAAATATAAGACATTCTGTTTAAACGTAAGAAAAAAGTTTGAAGTTTTTTTACAGTACAGATAGTCAAACACTGTGACAGGTGGCTGGGAGAGATGGAGTCTCCATGCTTTGAGATATTCAAAACCCAACTGGAGTCAGTTCTGGGCAGTCTGCTCTGAGCGTGAGGGTTGGACTAGATGATCTCCAGAGATCTTTTCCAACCTCAACTATTCTAAAATCTTCCTCTGCGGCTTGCAAACAGAAGCAGGAACTTCTACTCTAGTGCATCAGCATATGCAATTATCCTGACCAATGTCAACACTGATTTTAGAAAACAGTGTGTTAACTGTTAACAAAAGCAAAGGGAATGTACAAAATTATGTTTGACTGGCTGCACAAAATAGCAGCATTCCTATCCCTCAGCACATTCTGCTTTTAGACTCTCCTTTCTTTCCAGGTAAGTTTGCTTAGCTTTAACAGCGAATCATTGACTCGAGCTTCCACTAGATAAAGCAGCAGCAATGATCATGGGGCAAGAAGCATTTCAGTGGTTGACAATAAACAATACAAGCAAGTATCTGATGGAACATGAACCCTAAGCAGAAGCTTAATCCTCTCACATACAGAGCAGTAAAGTACAGATTTCCTGTCTTTAGAACAGAACATTGATCTACCTGTTTCACATTGTACCCAGTCTTCGCACTGGTCTCAATAAACATCACATTCAGCTCTTTGGCTCTCTGTTCACCTTCTTCTGTAGTGATTTGCCTGGACAAAGATGCAAACAGAAGCAGAGAGACAGAAAGGAAGAACAGACAGGAAGAGTTAGAGATGTCCGTGACTGAGAAGCTCTTCAATGGAGGGCTGCGCCACCACCCCTTACAAGACCTCAGGACCTCCCAGCCTTTAAGACACCCAGGTCCTCCAGCTAAGAATGAAACCACCTCAGGTAAGTTACCCAGGGAACGCCTGGACTTATGACTATTAATAACGGATGATCAGCACAGGATGAAGTGTGTGCAGTACATTTGAGCCTCACTCACAGCATCCTCAAGGGAAGGAAGAATCCCCATACGCTGCACCTGATACAAGGAGCAGTTTCCCAGAAGTCAACAGAAGGGAACACCGTGAGGTTACAGAAAGATTTCAGAAAGGCTCCAGCAGCAAGTACAGTGCAACAGCAAGTGCTAGGCTGCTGCTTGCAGGCAAGCACCTGCAAATGCATCTCTGATCAATACCCTGTACATACCTGTTTCACATTATATCCTGCTTTAGCACTGGTTTCAATATACATAATATTCAGTTCCTGGGCTTTTCTCTCACCCTCCTCTATAGAAACCTGTCTACAGCAACGAGAACAAATCACAGACAAGAAAAACCAAAACAAAGAAAAATAGTCCAAAAATAATAAAAAGAAAACTGCAGAAAAAAACCACCAACTGAAGCAATATTAACAGGAAAGAAAAACTTAACAGGCTGCACCAAATAAGAACAGTGCTATTTTTAGTTCAGCTTTTTGGCCTCAGAACTTAACTTGCACCATCACTTGATTTTTACCATAGGAAGAATGGCTTCCAATACACTGTATTCCATCTTGAAAAATGTGACCAAGCCCAGACTGATACTGTGGCTTTGCTCAGCCACTATTTCAGCCTAACACAAATCTAACTTCCTTTTTAAAAGAAAGGCAAGGCAGCTTCTTTTACTGATACCTGGATATACACCGTAATTCCAAACTCTAGCCTAGACCAGGACTACTGTCACTTATATTAAACTTCTAAAATAAGAATTTTTAGTGCCATATGAACTTCAACTATAGCTATGTTTCAAACAATTTTCTGGTATTTTTAATTCTTATGGCAATGCTGGGCCAGCTGTCCTGCACACACACTCTACTTCACTTACGTACTACCAGGAAATAATCCAAGGCAGAAATTATCCCATTGGGTTTTCCAGTTCCACATGAAATTGCATTTTGGTAGAAATTCGAAAGCCTCAAATCTAAATGCCAGATCAATCAGTTAGGGAGCTGTGGTTATTTCTAGCTCCCAGAAGGGCATAAGAGGTGCTAAGTGGTCAACATCCAGAGCTGGCTCAAGTAGAACATCTCGGATTTTGCCCAGTTGCTTTTGTAAGCTGATTTCAGAGACCAGACTGATCTGAGGTCTTGCTACCCGGAATTCTTAATCCAAATCAGCTATACACATTTTTATCACATTTCTGAAGCTCTGAGCACCAAGTTTTATCAATATTTCCAAAGTGCAAAGCACAGGACACTTAGAACGGCCCCCAGTGGAAGTGGGAAAAGCCAAACAGTTGTCAAGACTCAGGTGGTCTGTGTGGAGGACACAGAACACATTTCTGTAAGAACCATCAGTACAAAGCCCACAGCTTTGGCCCAGAACCCAAGCGCCCACTTGGAGCCTAGCTTCATCCTCTTCCCCACTGACTCCCACTTGCCGGTATTAGAACTATCTATGCTCTTCCTGCTAGGCATGGCAAACTAAAAACTAACAGCATGACTTGTACAGGGACAAAGGGCAAAAAGCATCTCCTGACATCATATTGTGCAGCCATGGATATTAGCCATTGTCTCATACGAGCATTTGGACACCAACAAACCACAAGGGAAAAAAACACATCACAATACATTCTGAAGCAATATATACACTGCAGGAGTGACTAAAGCAAGGTTTAGAATTTAAAATGTGATAGCATCCAACAATGAAACAGTCAGATCCCTGTTAGGCCCATCACCCCAAGAAAGAGAGTAAACAGGCAGTTCAGATGTTCAGATTTTTCTGAGAAAACATTTATGTTCCACCTGTAAGGCTTTTCAAGCTGTTATCTTTTGATCAGAAGTGTCTTGTGAATAGCCAAAGGATAAGGTTTTGATTTCACAAGACCTCATTTTGTTGTGAGATCCAGGTGTTTCTCAGTTCTGCCTTTTTGAGATGCTTTCTTTTACATCAGATAAAAATTCCCCACCATTTCAATACTTCATATGTCCTATGACATATGAAGCACACATTTTAAAGCACCTGGTGTATGTGAAGATGGTTCAATTTAAAGTATTGGGACTGTAAAGAACTGCATGGCTTACTCCATCTTCCCTTTGCCAACTACTACTGACACTAATGATTACAATAAAAATCCTTCCTTATTTATACTGTTTCTGATGTCTTCACAAAGAATGAAAATCTCTGAAAACGTTAAACAAAATTTTTGCTAAATCAACAATCAAGAAAAGAATTTGAAATAGTGCACAAGCGAAAGCCTGTGGTCTTCTAAGAAGCTATTACATTGGTTATGTTGGTTGAAGTGGCATTGTAAGGTTAAGAGTTTTAAAAGCAAACTGCTTTATGACTTGTCCCGAAACATTAAGTCCGTGTGATTTTAACAGTCTAATTAACTTTTTACGTCTCTTGGGGAAGTCTGCTTTTGCTAATCTAGTTTTCTCTCACACATCTGCAACATCACAGTTTGCGTTACGTATGACATGAGATTTATGCTCAGAGGGAAACCTTTTAGATTTATACTGTAAAATCTCATGCTGCATCTTGTAGCAAGAAGAAACTTTACTATGAACTTACAGTTGGCACACACAGAAAGAGTCATGTAAATAGGATTACTGAAAAAAGGCAGATTTCCTTGCTTTTGCAAGACATCTTTTTGGCTTTATCTCACGAAAAGAAAAATCAGACAAAATACACTACTGAGAAACATGGTAGAGAGATACTTAATTTAAGTAAAAGGAATCTTTTAGGTGGATTTGTTTTAAGCAAAACTATTTGTAGAACAGCAAAATGGAGTAACTTTGCATAATCTGAAACCAGAAATCTGAATTTCATGACAAGCTACTTATGCTTCTTTCAAAAAATCAACAACTGTTTTGAAGACAGACTAGTCAACCAGTTCCTTGCTTTTACTGGTCAGGGCAGCAAGGCTGCCAGCTCCCCTCCATTACCTCTTGTCTGCCAGGTCAGTTTTGTTCCCCACCAACATGATGATGACGTCGCTTCCTCTCTCTGTCCGAACATCATCAATCCACTTGGAGGTTTGCTGGAAAGAATTCAAGTCTGTAGGGAAGAATCAAATGGGAGTGCTGAGGATAAAACGTCTTTTCAGGAATGTCCTGGTTTCGGCTGGGATAGGGTTAAATTTCTTCTTAGTGCTGTGTTTTGGGTTTAGTATGAGGAGAATGTTGATAACACACTGATGTTTTCAGTTGTTGCTAAAGGACCTCCTAGTCCAAGGACAGCTCCCATGCCTACTGACTGAGCTAGGTACACAAGATGGGAGGGAACATAATCAGGACAGCCAGCTCAGCTGGCTAATGGGGTATTCCATACCATGTGACGTCATGCTCAGTATATGAATGGTAGGCGTGATCCAGGAAGTACCGATCGCTACCTGGTTATCGGTCAGCGCGGGTGGTGAGCAATTGCATTGTGCATCACTTATTTTGTATATTTTATCATTATCATTATTATTCTCCCTTTTCTGTTTTATTAAACTGTCTTTATCTCAACGCACGAGTTTCCTCTCTCTTACCCTTCCAATTCTCTCCCCGTCCCACTGCGGGGGGGAGTGAGTGAGCGGCTGCGTGGTATTTGGCTGCCTGCCAGGTTAAACCACGACAAGGAAGAATGCTATGCTTGTACTCAGGTGCTTCTCCAAATCTCCCCACACAACATAAAAAGGATCCATAAATTTGTTTTCCACTCAGACAGAAAAACAGGGTGGGGGGAAAAACTGTTTCTAATGTTAATCATCTTTTTGCAGAACTTCTGGTTGTAATATATTAGTTCTGCTTATATGTAGTATTTCAAATAATGAGACACCAAAGCATCACTCACTTGTAATGTCATAGACTACCACAGCAATAGTGGAGTCGCGGATGTAGCTGGGAATGAGACTGCGGAACCGCTCCTGGCCTGCTGTGTCCCAAAGCTGCAGCCGAACCTGCTGGTACCAGGCCAGGGAGAGCAGAGAGAAAGAGAGAGACAGCGAGAAAGAAAAGAAAGGAGGAAACTGTCCTTTAGAGAAAAGGCCATTTCTAGAATCAACTGTATGCAGCTCAGTCTGAGAAGCTGAGGTTGACCTTGTAATCTTGCCCCAAATATCCAAACTGCACAAAAATTGGCTTTTCTGACTCTGTTTATAGATAATGTGCTTTAATTACCTCCTTTGCTTGCCTAGAGATTCTGCTATTGCCCCAGTCACCACATCCCAAAGAGCTCTAGCCTATGGCTACTACCTCCAGTCATTGCTGATAGCGGTAGCCAACAAGTAATACAGAGCTGGTCTTCCTGGTCTACCCAGGATTACATACGGGGTCGTCACAGGACTCCTAGCCTAGAGCATCTCAGAGCAAAGCTTTTTGGGCAATTCCCACGACAGACATGCAATTCCCTCAGGCCAGACACCACATAGTAAGACAGCATCCATTCTCCAGCATCAAGCATCCAGAAGATGGCAATGGGGATTTTCATGCAAGATTAAGGCAATCAATAACTTAAGTACCAGCAGAAACAAAAGCAAATGTTACACACTGTAGGCTTTACGTGACACAGAGGGCATCAGGTTCTCCCTTTCAGATAAGCACAGGAGTCAGAAACAAACACAAATGCTATGAGGTACAGTTTGATCTCCAGAACTATGCCCAAACACAAATTGACCTATTATATATGACAGCTCTAAGGTCTGGGACCTGCCTATTTGAAACAGCAATGGTCAAAACATGCCCAACTACTACAGTGAATGCTAAACAAAAGCTTTTCACAACAGGGAGTGACACCATTTCCTTCCAAGTCATTACCCCACACAGCTAGCTGTACAAATAGCACTACACTGCCAGAAAACAAGATCGCTATTGGCATTCCCAACGGGCACGAGCTTCGTAGGAGGGCAGATACTGGTTCCCAGCTTAATTACATGAATTGGTTAGATGTGCTCACAAAGCCACTTGTTCAGCAATGAGGGAGAGCAGCTGTTTATGCACAGAACAGCGGTTAATAAGGCAGCTTGCAGGAGACTGGCTACAAGGGAGAAAGCAGTTTCAGAAGGACCAAGAATTGGCTTGTTCAGAAGAGAAATAGAAGCTGGACAAAGCACACGTCTGCAAAGTGCCTTGCTACAAGCAGATTGAAAACAACATCGTATCTATATCAGGGTATGTAGATCTGATGCCCTGGGCTTAAGGAAGATTAGGGCTTATAGTTAAAGCAATTAGCTCATGCTTCATTTTGAAGGCAGCCTTGATTACAGTAGCAAAAGTCAGGGCTCTTCACTACCCCAGGAAACTCAGGGTGACAAACTCCAAGCACTTGGACAATATTACACCAGTGCTGGAAGATCAGATTGATAATGACAGCTTCTGGCTCTTGCTTCTAGACTTTCACAACAAGCTTCCACATAGTCCCCAACACATTGCTGCTACACCAGACTATTCACCCAGAAAGTTTACCAAGGTGGTGATTTGAACACTCCAACCTTCAAACTCACAGTCAAAAAGACAACTAGAGGAAGGACCACAGAACTGGGGAAGAACTGGCCCCAGTAATCTCATTGTAGTGAAGGGTAACACTATCTGAGGGAAGGCCTTCAGCTAGTATGCAGGTACCGTGCAGGCACCCCTGAAGTGACCTGAGAAAGTTAGCTACAGTATTTCTGTGACTTCTTGTTTCTAGAAGTCAAAGTTTGTGTGCACCCATTCTGGAGGGGAAGAGAAAATATAAATAACCCGCTCAAACATGACAGCGTGCTAATAACCCTACCAGTCTGGAAAGATCAAAGGTCCTCAACCAAGACTTAACGCAGCCTCTCTTAGAAACAAGGTAACTTGTTCAGAAAGGGGCCCAAGTTGCAGTATGGACTTTCACCATGGATCTCTCCACAGGCCACTTGCATTTCAAGATGCCCTGTAGATTAACAATAACTAAGCAATTTCTCTTTTTCTTCTCAGCTCACCACATGCTAGCTAGCAGTTTCTCTCTACTAGTTAAGAGTATCTTGGCTGGCATGTAAGTATATCCTATGGGACTGTCCCTATTTTACACTACCATGACCAGCATTAACTTACAGGAGACAATCTGAGTTTCCCAAACACAGTTACCACTAAAGACACTGCAAATATATAGCTCTTAAGAGTAGTAAAGGAAACTGTTTTCCTAATCCCACTAGTCCTCACCATCATCATGCCCTCAGAAGTATATGAGCATGTTCCTTCAATAACACAAGAAAACTAAAAGCCTCTCAGTCACTAAGTACAGAACAAAGAGCAGTAACAAGAAAAAATGAAATTATCTGAAAAGATCAGACCATTACCAAGGCATGATGAGATCAGCTATCACTTAATTACTTTTGACACGTCTGGAAGCTGTTAAGAACAGCCTAGACTGTGGTAAGATTTTTCCACCTGCTTGGATAAACAGCATCCTGTACCTGTCACATCAGTGGGGAGAAAAGATGCCAACCTACGCAACCTGCCACGCTGTCTCACCTCAATGTGTTCCCAGCATAGAGTCATCATGTGCACACCTCGGCACTCCTCAAACCCCAAACAGATCACTTCAGTTCTACATTAGTTTGCAGCAAACCAGAAATCCTCCAAGAGCCAACTACTTAAGCTACAGAACTGGGAGAAAGACCATGTAATTATCTGCCCTCAATATGTAAGATAAATCATAACAGAAGTTTACTATTTGTTAAGCACTTCTGTTAACCGAAGCGAAACAAACCCCTGGTCCATAAAGCCTCACTATAATCTAGAGTTTGTGACAGAATAAAGGTGGGCCAGAGGCTTTTCATTTGCGCTACATTCTTTACTTAGACTTTGTCCACATGGTGTTGGCTCACTGCTATATATCCTGTCTAGATATTTATGCTGATACTGTAGCTTAACCGAAAAAGCCAGATCAAGTGGAATCAGTAACAAGGAGTTATAATGAAATAATTGTATTCATATCTTCATATCCTATACTAAGACATTCATGCCAAGAGTTACAGAGAATTTCCCTCTAAGCTTGTTTATTCTTTAGACATTACGGTTGTTACATCTCTCCTCTTTCAAAAGCTCTCTGGTTACTCATACGAATTGCCAGCTCTCTTCAATGAAATGGGAGTCTTGAATCCTCGTAAGTCGCTTCATAGCTTTTATTTAAATGAGCGTTGTACTGTTTTACCTACTCTGACAGTATTCCTTTGCTTTGGCATCTGAAGTCATTACTTGTATTACTTCTCTAGTTATCCAGAAAGGAAAAAAAAAAAAAATTCATTCTGAGGCTTAACAAAATCCCCCAAAACCAGAAAGAGTAAAAAGCTTTCCAAAGGCTACCAATCACCCTTCATTCCAATCAGCAGACACACAAGAAGTCACAATCCCTATTCACCTACCTGCCAATCCTCTGTGTATCACTTCTATAGTTTGAGCTTTGAGCAGACTTTTCCAGTTCTCTAGTTTCTGTATTATGGGATGGAATTACCATTGGTTGTGGGGAAAGATGCTCTGCTACTTCATCTCAGCTCATGAAATACCTACAGTCCTGGGGCCGACGGCCTGTCTTAGCTCCTTTCAGTTAACACCACTTCCAATGCATAAAAGGTACATGTTAAAAGCAATGTCCCTGCAGACACTCTGGCTCAATACCTACTTGTAACGTCAAAGACAATGACAGCCACAGCAGAGTCACGGATGTAGCTGGGAATGAGGCTGCGGAACCTCTCCTGGCCGGCTGTATCCCACAGCTGCAGCCTGATCTGGGAAATGGAAAAGTGTAGGGGAAAAGGGAAGGGGAAGAGCAGGAAAATGGAAAACAAAACCAAAGCTCAAGTGAAATAAAGATAAAAAGAAAAAAAATGCAAGGCAAAAATAATGCAACAAAAGGAAAGTTAAAATGGAACAGAAATGTGAAAAGAGCCAACAATACTTCTAACCGCATTCTCACAGTAACCTCAGCCTAGCATGTCTGAGAGACCTCCCTCCCTCCCTCCACAGACCCATTAATAACTCTCACACTTGAACATGTTCTTCCATTTAATCATAAAACCAAGAGATCCCTAAAATACCTTCTCACACATCTGCTAATGAGGGAAATAAGCATATATACCTCGCTGCATCCTGCCATGTCAGGACTCTGGCTATAATGGCCACACAAGCAGACTGTAGCCTACAGCTAGCTAGATGCAGCCACTCCTAACCGTAAGGACATCATCACCAGAACATCATCACCCCGCTACGGATAAATCCACTGGAAAGCCTGGCGTCAAGTACTGAAACACAGTAGTGGGGTACAAGCCAGGATAGCAAACACTCTCTAGACTGGCTTATCTTGGGCTTAAATCCAACAAGTCTGGGAAGATATTGAGACACAGTAAAGGAAATACTACTTGGTCTTTCAAGAATGAGGTTGTAGCTCTAACATGGAACTGGCAGCCTGACAGTCAGGAGTGAGGACGGGGCTTCTTTTGGCCCCAGTTCACTTAGTGCCACAGCTCCCAATGCACTGGCAACACGCTGGAAATGGCATCCTTACAGCTGCCCTCTGTGGGAGGCTATAGGAGATGGTTTTGAAGAACCCAACTCCACATATATTTGTCCCTTCTGCTGGCTAGCACATGCTACCCAGATCATATTTAGAGCTGAGTGATCTGGCATAGGTATAATTTCAGGATGTATTATTTGGTGTAAGGACATCTCAAATATGCCAAATCATACGCCACAGTTAGAGGCTTATCGTTCTTCATTTAAAGCACAGCAGTCAAAGCCTATTGCAAAATACAGCATTAGCATATCTGAGAAATTACTTCAGTGTCTGAATTTTCCTAGCTTGTGTGCTTGTATTTCTCGCTCCTCTGATTTACATTCAACACCTCTCTGTTATTTAAACAGGCTTTATGGGCTCTGTGCACCACTTACATAATCAGGAAAGCTAACAGTATATCCAACATTGGAAAGAAAATAGTATTTTCTGGATAGCAGGCCAGCAGGTGAATGACATCCTGACCTACACAATCATAAGAAATCAAGACTACACTGCTGAAAACAGCCCACAGGCATTCCAACTTGCCTTCACAGGTGTCAAGCAGAAATCCCACGACCTTTTTCTTCTTCTGCCACTGCCAGTCCCATTGAAGAAAGCTATCCAAGTAGTTTCTCCCAAACAAAGATTAAGCAATGTCTTTTCTAATACTGAATCACTGGTAAGATGGCAGAGAAGCACTCAGGAAACTCACCACACACACTGGGCTGAGACTTCTTCAGAACCGACAGACCCAAAGGAACACAAAGAACTTCCACTGCACCACCGGCCCCTTCCTCCCCGCCAGTTTCATACTTCTCAGCTCAACTAGCAAAAAGGCAAGTACTAGCAAAACATGAACTAATGAAAGGACAAATACTGAAAGACAGGAGAGGGATGTGAGGCATCTCTTTATGCAAAAAGGAATCTCATGCAAGCTAAATCCAAAATGGCTTTATCAACAGTACATCAGAACTGTGTTACAAAAGGAGCCTTTCTATGAGGAGGAACTATGCCACCACTGGTAATCATGAATGACTTCAAGACTTGGAACTGCCTGGGGTCTGCTCAGACCCATTTACACTGACAATCCCAGGGGCAGAGCTGCAAATTCGGGGAGCAAACTACGCCTAAGGTACATATAGTAGACAGCCCATTCCCCAGGATATGGACGGTAGCTTGCCCCAGTTTTGCATGAAAGATTTTGACTTCATTCTAGAGCTATCAGATATTAACAGTATGAGAAACAGGAGAGTGGGTCAGTGATTTGATTAACAAAGGCTGTCCCTCTGAAGGCTGTGGTGGGATTTCAGCAGCCATTGGAGGAACAGCCAGGCGAGACAGCACGCACAGCAACTCCTGCTGCCATGACCGCAGTTGCCATGCTATCACACAGATGCCTCACTTACCGTGCGATCTTCAAGATACATTGTTTTTGACAGAAAATCAATTCCAATGGTCGCCTGAAAAGAAGAAAAGCATTAGTAACTGCAACTTGCCTTCCAGCATCTGCAAATCTGATCTTCCCATACAAACTCTCAAAAATGTTCACAAAATCGTAATTAAGCCATTGCAAGTCATTTGCTTTCAATACAGTTGATAAAAACAAAGCAATCTGGATATCTGCACCATCTTCATTTCAGGTCATTCTTCCGACACTTCTCAGCTGCACAAGAACCTCTGAGTCTGGATTTTAGCCTCAGACATTCATGCATCTTAACACAGATCATATCTGAACTGGCATCTCTTTCTGGTCTACCACAATTCAGTCTGGTAAGAATTATCTTATTAGAAATAACCAAAAGGTAGAGCAAATTACATATACAAATTGCAGGCAACTGTGCTGAAAGCTAAAAAGCAATATTTATTCAGGACTTTCCAACTGAGAATGTGCCTGCTTTCCAGTGACATTTAGAAGCTTAATTTCCCAGGCAGTTCTTTCTGTAAGTCTCCTTCCATTCAGGTTTCCATTGCTGTACAGCGATTCCAGTACAAAGACATTTTAAGTAATTTACTAAGTTAGATGCACTCCCTGGCACTTAAATCAAGCAGATGTCCTAGCCCATCATAACCCGGGAAACAGGAGACAGGTTACTGATGTAAGAGATTTGAGTATTTCAGACAGATTATCTCCAGTCTTAAAAGGCAACATAACGTGTTCTGGAAGGACTCCATCAGAATGTGAACCATTTAACATTAGAAGAGACCACAACAGGCAATTTCTGTAGGTAGTACTTATTTCTGGAGCCAGGACACAGTTTATAACAACTACAATAAGCAGATAAATCCATAAGAGCACCTTACAAAAGTCAGGAAAAGAAACACAGAAAACACAAGAGGATCCAGTTCCAGTGCATGACTTGTCCTCAGGAAAACAATCTTCTCTTCCTTTTCCAGCTTAAAATTCCTCCAATCTAAACAAGTAACTCTTTCTGGCCCGAATTAAAAAAGAACACCATCTTCCCCAAAGATATCTGTTATTCCCTTGAAATGCCGCTAAGTGCTTTTGATGTAGCTAACCCTTCCTGAAAACCTTCAGGCTTCTTACACAGCTTCAGCTTTTCATCTGCAGCCTCTTCATCCCTACCCTACTCTTTTCCTGCCGAGATTTCCCCAGCTTTTTCTATCCATAGCTTTTTAGTTAAAAAAAAAAAAAGTAGTAATAAAAAAAAATTGAGAGAGAGAATATACCATGCTGACTTCTTGCAGATCTATCTATACACTGTGGATTCAGATGCTAGAGACCAAGAACTATCATAAGTACGTTCATATCTTAGTGTTTCTCTCTGTTTCCTGAGACCTCCATATCCATCGTCAGGCATCCTGACCACTGTCTTCTCTGTTAGCCAATCCCATAAACCAACATTTCTGTTTTCCTCAAGGCTTCTCACATATCCAGACAGGAGCTAAACCTTGCTTCTTTTTTGTACACTGTAATTCCTAACATCATACTAGATGCTTGGGCTTAATCATGAAGTCTCATCTCCATTTCAAGGCACATTACAACCTTACACATGATATTGAACTGACATCTCCTGGGGAAATGTGCTTGCCCTTAACAGTTCTCACAGGCATACATTTTAATAGCGGGGAATAGATTTACCTGTACATATATGTACTAAAAAAAAAGACTACCACATACCTGGTAAGTATTGTCAAAACTGTCATACATAAACCTGGTGATCAGAGAGGTCTTCCCAACTACAAAAGAAGAGAAAAATTACTTTCAAGCAGCAGTGGAAAAAAACAACCACTGTTTTGGGAGTGACACACTGGTAGCACTGATCATCAGAATGAAGGTGCCAACCTAAGGATATTTCCCAGCTACACCCTCCTACTAAATAACCAGCTAAGAAATTAATTCACAAAATGACAGAAGTATGTTAAGCCAAATCAATCTCAGGAGGTCAAAAATCAATCATGATGAAAACTTGGTCCTCAAATCAGGTACATTGTGATCCATATGACAAAGAATTATTTGTTTGCTTTAAGCAAGAAATATTTATTGCTGTTTTGTTACTCATATTTTGCTACTTATGTAATCATCAAGTCTTGGGACTTCTAGACACAAACATCAAAACAAGACACAGTGATAGCCTGGACACTGTTTACCTGCCTCTGGCTGGATAGAAAACCAACATTCAAGACTCATAGCCCTTCTTCATAACAAGATTTTAGATACAGAATAAACTTTGGTGGCTTGCTTAAAAACTTTAAATTTATGCCTCCAAATATTATCAGTAGACAAAGTGCGGAACTGACAAGAAACAGGAACCAACGAGAAGATCTCCAATCCTCTCTCAGGAAGCCAGAGGAAGCCAAGAAAAATTCAAAGGACATGGATGGAAGAGAAGAGGGAAAAGGAATACATTGCCTAGAAAGGTTGTGAAATTGTGAGCATTGGCGAGGGTTAAAAACAGGTTGGACAAATGTCTGTCAGCAGCAATATCAATCCTGCCTCGGTAAGGAAGGGGAATTAGACAACTTCTGGAAATGCCTCCAAGACCTACAGCTCTGGGACCGAGGAGGAGGTAAGCAGTAAGAGATCTAAAGAGAGTAATACAGCAAAGAGTACCACAATTTCAAGAAAAAGATACAACTCATCCATATATTATGAGGGAAGGGGTACAAAAGAGAGTCAACTTCCAGGTAAAACAAAAAAATGAAGATGTAAGGTAGGCAACGGCCACGCTATACAAACAGCACTGCTTTGCCATTTATTTTCTCTCTCCAGCATATGCCGCACGCTCGGTGTGGACACGGCCAGAGACACAGCACACGGGGCGGAGCAGCAGCCTGAGAGCCACCGCATTTCCCCCAGACGCCAGCAAGGCCCGGCCGCCCGCCCGGCCCCGCGC